TATAGTGAGTGATTTTTTTTTTTTTGGCTCCAAGAATCAAACTCAAGGCCTCGCACTTGCCAGGCAGGCACTTATATAGTGAGTGGTTGATGCCAACTGAAGGAAGTTAGTCACGTAAAACTATCTATTACTTTTTAAAGTGTTTAAATCTGGTAGCTTTGGAACTGGCCGTTGAAAGATGGATCATTAAGAGTCTGTTTTTGCTATCAGTGGTGTTGTATTCTCTATTATCACTATTAATTACTATTTCTAAACTACATAGTCTGTGACAGTTTATCTCCTTGAATCTTAAGAATACTGATCTGAAGCAGATATTACCTCCATCTTATGCCAGAGCAGAATGAAGCATAGGTAACCAAAACTATGTGCCTGTGGTCCTATATTAGTAAGTAGGAGGTCATTTTTTTCTTCCTTTATACATTGCAGTACATTTATGAAACAAGAAATGCATAAGACAACTTCATGTGACACTGTTTCAAAGTCCAAAGGAAATAAAAATATGCAAACTTACAGATATTAGTACTGTACTTCCTTCTAAATACTTGAGCTTTCATTGATTAGAGTTCAATATTTTTTATATATTTGATGTGAAACATGCACTTATAATATAAATTCTTAAGTTCACATTTGCTGAGCCTTTGAAAAGTGCATACCTGTGTAACCAAACTACATCACAATACAAAACATAACCATGAAGCTAGAACTTTCCTTCATTCTCCTAATTAACCCTCATCCACACTCCGATCCAAGAAAAACACTGTTGATTTTCTTCCACCTTAGGTTTCATACAAATACAGTCTTACAATGAATATTCTTTTATGTCTCACTTCCTACACCCAGCATACATCTCTAGATATCCATATTCAACTTTTATGAAAAATATGCCAAACAAAAGTTTGACCAGTGGTAGTTCAGTAAAAAGAAATTATTGTAAACTATTAAATCCCATCGTTTTCAGTTTCCCTTCCAAACTTGAATGCACTGGTAACTCATTTGTGCCCTGAATGTTTCGTTAGGAATTGGAAATTTGTTTATTTTTTTCCTTGACTTCATTCTGACCCTAAAAGAAATAATTAGGCTACTCTGCTTCTTAGGCATTCTATCTCTAAATCTTTCTGTGCCTCCTGTGTTTTTAAGCAGTAGTGTACGTCATTAAAATGTAAAAGACCCTCAGGTGCTAGATACATTTTTAGTTTATGGATCTCAAAAACTCAAATAAGCAGTCAGTGACTATTTTTATTTCCAAAAGAAGAGTGAGATTGGAGGGGATGGCAAAGGAGAAAAACATACTGTGATAAATTAAATTGAGCCTGATTCTCTTCTGGCTTTATTTAATCTTTCCTCACTGTAATATAAAAAATTCAGAAGAAAATATTCTATTTCCAGTAGGTCCTTTAGCCAGGCAAGAAAATAAGTTTCCAGTTCTTTCTTCTACAAAACTATGTAAGTTGGGCTGGAGATTTAGCTCAGTGGTTTTGCTGCCTGCTGCACAAGCGCAAGGACCCGAGTTCGATCCCCAGTACCAAAAAAAAAAAAAAACTATGTAAGTATTCAATCCCATAATTTACCACAGCCCAGCATAAAGTTACAGTTGGAGAACAATCTAAGTAAACATTACCTCTTTATAAGAAAAATGGAGTAGTTGGCATATCTAATTCATTAGGTAGGAGCTCTAGTGCAGGCTTCTGTTGAGTATATGGCAAACCGTGTTTTATTTGTTAATATGGAGGATCTATGTTTACATTTTACAGTATTACTTTGCAGTCAAATATTTAGCGAGATCTTGCTTAAGTAGTGTACTTGTATTACACTTTGACTTCTCAAAATGTGAATGATTGCTTACTCTAGACTGGTTATTTGTTTCTTTTACTCTTGACTTGTTGGTTGTCTTTTAATATTTACTGTAAATGTTTTCAGTATTGAAGTGGAAGATGAATCAGTAATTCTTCCAACAGGTAAAACTGATATATATTGACCATTATTACTTTGTGTATCAAAATAAAATATATTTTGCCTGTGGTGAATAGCAAGTGCTACATGTAGATTTTAAATTATAAAAAAAATGTCTGATCACATAATATTACACTTGGCTTAAAGCATATCAAACGATCTACTCAAGCATATTATATGTATGAATTAAATAAAGATTAAAAATTTCCATTTCCATTTTGCCAGAAATAGAGAAATAAGACTCCATTATACTGATTTTCTTGTTTATTTGTTTTGCTGCCCACATTTTATTTCAGAATATTAACTTTGGTCTTCTGTTTGCTTTCCCTTGTTTTGTTTGCTTAGTTTCTTAGGGATTTAAAAATAATTTATTTTCCAAGCGTGTCTCAGTTGTCTCCCTTCAGTATCACCCTGGTCCTATGTGCTAGTTAGAACTCTGTTGCTTAAATACCATGCTTTTCTCTTTTTTAGCATACATCTTTATTTCTGGTATATTAAATCTTCTCATGTGTTTATTAAAAATAATTCAAGAGAGATACTTTTTTGAAAGCTTCATGTTTGAAAATGTATCCTCTGCTTACATTTGATTGATGGTTTAGGTGAAAATAGAATTCTAGTTTAAAAATTGTTATTCTTCATAAATTTAGAAATGTTACTCTGCTCTCAAAGCTGAAGCCATTTTGATTCTGATCTGTTGTTTGTGACATCTTTTCTCTTTCTTTCTCCAGAAGCCTGTTTTCCCCAATATTCCACAGTTCCAGGATGATGTACAGTGGTTTAAATCTGCCTTCAACCATTATATAAGGCATTTGGTGGGCTGTCACCCTAGCAACCCATACATTCTGGTCCTAGATGATCTTATTGAATAATTCAGTATTTTATTTCATTCCTTTTTCTGAAATTCCTATTATTCATGTTTATTTGTTTGGTTGTTTGTTTGGAGAGGGGATCTCACTAGGTTGCCCAGGCTGTTCGAAACTTTGGTTGTTCCCCCTTTCTCGAACTCAAACATCTCAGGTTACAAGTATGCACCACTGCACCGAGCTTAAAAGTCCTATTATTTAAATGTTATATTGACTTTATTGGTACTCTGACATACTATCAATATGTCTGTTTATAATTTACTCGTGTGTGTATGTAAGTGTGTGTATGTGTGTTCCCTCTCCTGCTATCCATTTCATAGGTTTCGCACTCTTATCTTCTGAGAGATTTCCTTAGCTTTTTCTTCCAGGATGTTTACTCATTTGTTTGTTTGGCTATTTTTTTTTTTTTGCTATGTTGTGAAAATCTTCCTAACTATCCTTTTATTTTATGATTATTCCTTTATAATGCCTTACTATTTTTCCTCTCTCTGAAAATATTGCTTATCAGATTTTTCTAGTTTATTTTTCCTGACTGGTTTCTGTTTCTCCACACTGCTTCTTTTGGTTTCAATCCCTATTCTTTATTAAGAAATGTACAAAGATATCTTGTGGATGTTAAGTTGTTTGCTTGTGGTTAAGAAGGGAACACTAAAACTGTTATGAGAGTTCTGGTCAAGTTTGGGGGCCTAATTTTCTATTGCAGTTCATACTGAGATGTCCTAGATGGGCTGTTTCCTTGGGAAATTTCTATGGACCCTATATTTAGATATTATCTTGGGCTAATTAAGTTCCTAGGATAACTGTCTCTCTGTTTCCTGCATGGAGAACAAAGATACAGCTTCCAGCATCAGAATGAACTGAGTAAGATTGCAAAAAGTGGGCCTCAGTGGTTCTGTGTAAACCTTTTCATTTCTCTCTTTTCATAATGATTCCCAAAACTTCACTTGTGTTTTGTTACAAATAATTTGGATAGCCTCTGTTTGACATCTTATGTTAGTCAGCTTTATGTCAGTATATATTAAAAAGAAACTGGGATAATAAACTCGAAAAGAGAAAAATGCTTATTTTAGCTTACTGTTTTAGAGGTAACAGTCCATGATTAGACAAATGAGCTCAGTGTTCCCAGCCTTGTGGTTGAGATTCAAGATAGCAATGACGGGAGTGTGTGCCAGTGGAATCTTCTCACCTCAGGCCCAGGTAGCAAACAGAGGAAGAGGAAGAGGCCGAGTCCTACCACCCACTTCAAGGTCATGCCCTAATGGCCTACAGATTTCCTGATAGGCTTCACTTTCTAAAAATTTCACCAGCTCCCAATAATACTTAGCACAAAGGGGACCAAACTATTAACACATAACCTTTGGGGAACACTGTCCAAACCACAGTATATCCCCCCCAGCAAAATAATTTTTCTGTCTCATAATGAAATGGAACAACCTTCCAGAAAACAAAGACCTTCCTATTTCAAAAGGCCAGAAGAGAAATTGATAAAATAATATGTTTTCTTTTCCTTTCAAATCCCCAGCATAGGATTGAGCTTTGAACCATTAAAATCACTCAACTTCACTCAGTTTCTCAGATTTTTGCCTTCTCTTTTGATTGCTGTTTGTTGACTTTATCTCTTAGAAAGTGGTTTTTTTCTGTTGCTCTTTAGTAGAATTTTGTAAAGAATTGAAAGTGAACACTAGAATCAATTACATTCACCATGACAGCACATATACTACTTTTTATTGTGATATTATTTTTCTCTGCTAATAATTAGAAAGTCCAGTGTTGGTTCTTAATTAAAGAAAATGTACTGAGTGATCAATAAAGCACAATTCAGATGATGGACCCTGAACTCAAATTGTCCACTAGTGTGGTACCTTTGATTCCCTCTCACATTTATAGACATAACTCCAGCAATAATTCCTCCCTTCTCAGTAGAATTGTCCCCCAATTGGCAATAAAATAAAGTTGATTTCTTGCAAAGCCTGAGAGGATCACTTTTACATTTTTAAAAATAAAATTCTATTTAAGCTGTATCACACATTGTGTGTGTATAAAGACATACACTTATATAGTGAAGCGATTACTATAGTCAAACAAATTAATATGCCTATCTCCATCTCCTCACATAGTTAACTTTTCTGTGTATTTGTGGTAAGAATACCTGAAGTTGACTCTTAAGAGAATTTCCAGTATACAGTACTGTATTATTAACAGTCTCTGTGCTGTATTTTAGCTCTTTAGATAATCCTGGTATTTAGTCACCCCAACGAAAAGCTTACTAACATAAGTATATAACAAGGATTGATGGATTATATGCAAGTACTATTTTTAATTATTTTTAGAAACCTCCATATTATTTGTCGTAATTTCTGTCTCAGTGTGTGATGATGGTGGTGTAGAGAAGCAAAGATTATTTGGAGGTGAAACCTAATCTGTGACCTCGCAGAGACGTGCCAGGCTATTCTGTGGCTCTCTGTGTCCCTTTACTTCACTTTTTTGAGCCCCATATTGGGCACGACTTGTCATGGTGTGTCACCATGACAGCATAAGAATGAAAGATTACTTGGAAATGAGACTTACTTTAATCACCCAGCGGTCCAGAGGGGCTACCTAAAACTAGGGAACCCAGCATTAGGAAGACTCCCAAGAGTAACACTGAAGCTGAGAAATCTCTGGCTGTTACTTAGAATATCAGTGTAAGAGAAAAGAAGAAGAAAAGCAGTTTGGGAGAGGAACTATCTCAAGGCTAGGCAGTTTTTGGAGGGGAGAGAGAAAGGACAATGGCCAAACACAATATGTTTCTGTACGCTAAACTTCTTGTTTAACTATTCACTCCTCACAGAGCCGGCTTGCTTTTGCTCACAGTTTAACCATTTAGTCTTCACAGGGCTTGCATACTTTTGCCCCATAGTTTAACCATTCACTACTCAGCTTAGTCTTCCACACCAATAGTGTACAAGTGTAAGGATTCCCCTTTCTCCACAACCTTACCAACACTTATCTCTTGCATTTTAAATAACAGCCATATTATGAGATGTAAAGTTTTTATTTGCAATTCCTTGATGGTTAGTGATATTGAATCACTTTACATAAACCTGTTGACTATTTGTATGTCTTCTTTAGAAAAATATCTACCCCTTTTCAGATCTGTACTAAAATAAATTTTAATGAAGTTCTTACAGATAGAGAGAATACAATCCCAATTTCAAGCATGTAGATAGAAGAGTTAAAGAGCAATGAAAAGGGTTAATATATTACAACCTTTATATATGCCATAATTTGAGACTTTCACTCATTAGGAAAAGGACCAAATTTCTAAAGCATTTATTTCTAGTCTTCACAAGTTCACTAATGAGAGAAAATATCAGATAATATTTCAATTGTTTGAAGTGCTATTTATATACTAGTTTATTTTGGCATCTTAAAAAATTTTCTAAAATGCTATATAGATAAATGAAGGCAGAGCCCGATATTTATACAGAATTATTTGATTATTTTTCTTATACATCTGTCCATTATTTGAAAGGATCTCATAACTTCAGAAACACTTTTACAGTTATTCTGAAAATTGACACTGAATGATTACTAGTCACAGATAAAGATGTCAGTCAAGTTAAAAGTAGGAAAGGAGGAAAGGGTGACCAAGAAAATGTTCTCTGTATGGTCACTTGAGAAAAATTACACATTTTTGCCATTCCTTGGTTTCTAGAAATGTACTTAGAAATTATAACATGTAAGAGTGCATTGGCCATTGATAATAGGGAACCGATCCCATTTGTGTTGAAGGAAATCATACAAAACGATTCTGACATAAATTTTGATATAATTAGTTTTCATGCTGCTGGAGTGCTTATAACTAAAGATGCATTCTGGAAATATTATTGGTGTTTATGACATTGTGAAGTTGAATAAAGCTGTTCATCAAGAGTGTCATATATTCCATTAAATATTTCATTGTACTTCTTTTTTTTCCCTTAAATTCTTTTATTGGTACATTTTAGGTAAATGATACATTTACATTTATCATTGGGTGCTTGCACCTGTATATGATGCAGCTTGGTTTTATTTTTTTCCCCATTACCTGTGCACCCTTTACCACCTCCACCCTTCCCTATTCACAGAGACTTTGATTCCATTTTTTTTCTTTTCTCATAATTTTTCTTTTCCCTCCTTTACATTTCCCTTCCCCTCCCACACCCCCTATGCATTTGGAACTTTTCTTCCTATTTCAAATTGTCAATTATTCATTTTAATCATTTTAATTCTTATTTACACTTTCAGTTTCTCACACTAGAGAAACTTTTCAGCATTTACACGTGTGTCCTATTTATTTTGCTTATGAGTATGGCCTCAATATGTATCCATTCAGCTATAAATGTCTCTAGTTTCTTGTTCTTTATGGCTGAGTAGTACTCCATTTTATAAAAAAAAAACCCACATCTTCTTTATCCAGTTTCCAGTTGATGGGCACTTGGGCTGTTTTTAAGCATTAGCTATTACAAACTGTGCTGCTATAAACATGGGTGCACATATATCGCTGTGGTATGATTTTTTTAATTCTTTTGGGAAGATACCCAGCAGGGGAATAGGTAGGTCAAATGGGACCTCTAGCCCTAGTTCTTTGAGGTATCTCCATACTGATTTCCACAGTGGTTACATGGGTCTGCATTCCCACCAACAATGGAGAAGGGTTTCTTTCTCTCTACAACCCCACCAGCATTTGTTATTGGTTGATTTCTTCATAGCAGCCATTCTTGTGGGGTGAGGTGGAATCTCAGTGTTGTTTTCATCTGCATGTTTTGAATGACCAGTGATACTGAACATTTTTTTCATATATTTATCTGCTGCTTTTACTTGTTTATCTGAGAAATGTGTGTTCATTTCAGATGCCCTTTTTTGAATTGGGTTTTTTAATTTGGGGGGTCTGATTTTTTCAGTTCTTTATATGTTTTAGATAGTAGTCCTTTGTCTAAGGTACAGCTCCTAAAAATTTTTTCCCACATTGTAGGTTGTCTCTTAGCTCTGCTGGTGGTTTCTCTTGCAGTGCAG